ATATACTATCTCTTCACAAAAACTAAATAGAACATTGTAATGGACTCAGTGAAAATATGGAGGACCTAATTACATCATTATTTAATGTGAGATGATGAACTTGTGATGAAAAACCAACGAACTCTAACATTGGAGGGTTCTGATTTAAGGCAAGCGAAGAGCGGTGGGGGAGGGGCGGCAGGCTTTCTCACGGCACCGCAGGCAAAAAAAAACTTGCTGAAAGGCCACGTCCGACCCGTAGGCTACCAGATGCCTAGGTGAAAATAAGAGGAAGAAAAGTTAGAAAGGTTGTTTGGATTCAATTGTAGTCGTCCTATATGTTAGGTCCTTCACAAGTAAACAGTTCTGGCCATGTCATTTCCTATCGAACTACCTGTTATTTGGCCGTATTTTACACAACATTTGATTAACTTTGATTAGAAACAACGAAGAAAATCTTTTGGGAGTCAGCACTTCACACTGGTGGAACTCACACGTAACGACTACAGTATTACATAAGATATTATAAATACCCCAGAAATTATGTGCATACTTCCAAACGTTTAAAGAATTGTTTTAGAAAACGTGTGAGAACTACATATATCACGGCTAAGCTTCGTGTACAGATTTGGAAAGAGCTTTACTCACGCTTGCTTCAAACACTACAAAGTGAGTATATTCTTCCAGCCTGCGCAGTGGATTTTTTTAGTGAGGTACAGCGTGCGCAGAACTGGCCCCACCTTCTACTCCTAAGGTTCAACTGTCAGGGCCTAGCGAGCTAGTACAGTGACAGCCAAATCCTCATGTATAGGTCTTATTAAGATATCCTTTTCCTAGATGGATGACCTTACAAAGCTAAACAAGCTCTATCCGCTCGGGTTTGGAGTTAGAATATCCTTCTCTAGGTGATTGCCTGGAGGCTAACGAGCTCATCCTGTCCATGGACAGATCTTGTTTGACTTCCATTTGAAACTTTTTGGCACGGGAGACCCTACCGGACGTACACCCCACTACCAGTATAGCTCACAAACTCACAAGGTCACGCAAGCTTCTACTTCGCGACAGGAGGCGGTGTTTGTGGGGAAGTAATATATATATATATATATATATGTGCTTGGAAGTGATCTATACCGTAATACGAAATTCACAATCATTTTATTATTCTTCAATACATACACGCACATACTCTGATACTTAATGTTAAACTTTCTTCCTTGAAGTATGTGCATAACGAAATGCCACCAACCTTTTTGCTTCTTGAGCTTTCTTCATCCACCACTGTTTCAAAGAAAAGTTGATGCAGCAAAAACTGAAGCAGTTAGTAGTGACACTTCACTTCATTTCACTAGTTTTGAGTAGCTCACTTAGAAGTGTTCATTAAAGAATGTTTCTTATGCGGTAACCTAACAGATAATAAGCCATTATCACTGATATGATACAAACCCATGTCTAATATTTTGGAAATCATAATAGAAGGGTATCTCCACTATTTTAAAATTGTCGTTTGTGATTTTTTTGATTTCCATTAAAAAGCGATGTGATGATGAGAGACACTAGATTTTCTACCGCCGTATGTAGGAGCTGTCCTCGTTGCTGAACCATCGATACCCAGTTTTATCGCTCCATTAATATTCTGGAAGTATTTTCAAAAAATTTATTAATGCGTCTTTGTAAGTATTTGAGGAAACAATTAACGTAGCAAAAGTCGTCGGGATCGTAATATTTCCCAAACAATTACCAATCCGGACATTTCGCAGTACTTAATGACGATGTCATTAAGTTTCCTAAAATTCAACCAATGTTTCACGTATTGCTTGATGTATAAATAATGACAATGTTCATTGTCTGTAAGCGTAACTTCTGATTGCGAAATGTTACATCTGAAAAAAAAAAGGAATTTCATTTGAAGCTATTTACTGTACATGAGGTCTGAAACCAATTTTTAAATGTTGTCAAGCCGGTTAAAGTTAATAACTGGAAGAGATAAATTTGTAATTTAGTACAGATCTGTTGCATGCTTTTGTACGATTCCAATTCTATTGTGATCGTTTAGGTTTCGTTGTTCTCCATCCAGAAAAATTTGATATACTGCTCAAAAATTTTTCACATAAATTTACCAATCTTGAGCAAAAGCTGAAGCCATATGTATGTTTTATTCATGAATCCCTTAATTTTCATGCATTAGTGTAACATTTTAATCCGAATAAATCTGTCATTTTATAACATATGTAACAGTTATGATTTCACAGTTCATTGCAGAATTACAAATAATGCTAATTTCAAGTAACCACCGGTGTCGGTTACAAACTTTCCAGTACTCTATATCGTATATCGTAAATGTGAGTAGCAATCATTTCGTATTTCGCTACCTTGAAGTGTGCTTATTAAAGTGGTGAGAAAAACTTTCCCACTTACAGTACAGATGGAATATGCAAGACCTGTTACAAATAAATGATACTGTGTAACCGAAGTGTAAAATTTTGGTTGCAACAGAAACAAGATAATGGCCCAATAAAAAGCGAACTGAGTAAAGAAAAGCTGAATGGAAGTAAAACCCTGAAGTATATAGTGATGCTTTTTCTTTGTCGTAAGTGCGAATCCATGAAACTTTAACATTTCAAAAGCAAACATACCACAACCAATGATGGGTTGTGGTATGTTTGCTGATAGTAATAGTAAAAACCGAAAATTTGTGGTTTGCGATATTTCACCCAAAAATTCGAAGTTTTTGAATCACTTTACAAGTTCTCAAAAAAAGACCACCATCGTTATGAAAAAATTCGAGAGTTTCTTGTTTGAATACGGAACTGCATGGAGGCAAAAAGGGTGGGGTTCTTCATTAATTCAAGTTGAAAAAGTGAGTGGTCGACGTCAGTTGACCTGTTTTTCGATTGTAGAGGTATACATTGGAAGGTTCTAAAAACTTTGAAAATATTCCAATAAATTTTTATTCTAGCAAAGGAACTCTGTATCAAAAACACGTAAACGAAGAGAAGAAACAACAACAGGCGCAATGATTTGCGCAATCGGCTTTTTCAATTGCACTTTCTGTGCTTCGTCGTTATCTTTTTTTCAGAAAGCAACAATGTGAGTTACTTTTTCCCAAAAAAACAAAGAGGGTATTCCACGTTTGAACACAAATTCACGTTTTCATGACTAAAATTAACATTAAGAAATGAAACTGATAGAAACAAATAGTTTTCTAGACCATCTTCGCACATAGACCATTCTTCGTTTTCTTGGAATCTTTTTCTAGTCGAAAAAGCCATTCAATCATTATATGGGGATATTCTTGCATATGGAAGCATTTGTAATGTCATCCTTTTCAATTCAAAACATAAAATCCACATTACACTTAGGCCAATGGCACTGACAAATCAACGAATTGATAGCTGGAGAACGTATGGTAAGCACTAGATGGAAACGACAAATTTGTTGCTATTATTGGGTAACACTAAAGTGTAGTGTTAACATTGTAGTGCAGTACCGTTAATACAAACTGTTACTGCGAGTGTTTGTTGCATATAATTCTCTTCTTTGAACGGTTTTTACAAATTTGATCATCAGTTTCATTGTTTGCGGATTTTTTCTAATCTCAATAACGTCTCCTCCTTCCTAAGCTATGTAAAATCTTTCTTTTAGGTAGTGCATTCAGTACCGATATTACGGCCAGTCCTCACAATGGTTCTAGTTCCACTGCCAGTATCAGGTCAACAGTTGGTAACGATACCGGTACCACATCCTCTACCAGCACTAGCACTGCAATCAGTACCTGTAGCACGATCAGTAGCAATGTTTATGCTTCAACTAGTCTCTATTTCTAGGCCATCTGGCACGACGGGTGTTTCATGTTGTGTTTGTTGCCATGCCTGTTTGCGTACAAGATCATATTACACGTTGCACCATGTTCCTATGCATTGGTCGCAGGACGAACAACTGCCATGAATAAGTATTATACTTTAGACCGATTCATTTTTCACATAAGTTGAATTCTGCTTAAGGTTCTTTGTGAATGATGTAGTAACGTTAACTGAGGTAGCTGAGAAAACGGATAGGGTGGTTAAGTAATCATCCTAGCTTGCAGAATCTAAACTAAAGCAGCACTCTGCTGCAGAGTCTTCTAATTCTGGAAGAAATCCTTTTGAAACCATATTTCTGGAATTCATTTGTCCAGATGCATCAAATTTCGAGAGTTAAGGGCGAGGGAAGATACTACAGTAATTAGGAAGAAATAGGAATAAAGCAGTTAATGATTAGGTTTGATTATCCAACCGTGCCTCTTACACTTTATTAATTGATCTGATTAAAAACAACTCCATTAAGCGTTTGGTTTGCGGCAATTCTGCGTATGTTTTCGATATCATTTCTGTACATATCCTTAAATCTCGATCCGAAGGGAAAGATCGGTCCTTTTGCTTATCTGGAAAATCTCTTTCAGATACCAGGTCGAACCAAAGATGCTTGAAGACAAAAGGAAATCTTCTGGTACTACCGATATCAGAAGACTACCGCTTTATCTTCATACAACCTGAGACGTTGGAGTAGCTCTATGTTAAACACGCCTGTGATATATGGCTACAGTACATAAACAAACACTGTTATGTCTGCAATCCAGTGGAATGATGAAGCCTAACATCATTTAGTGGTTGTCGCCTAACATAATTTAGTTCGATTCACTGTACATCTCACGAGGAAAATTTCTCGTTTTGCCGGTAAATTATAGAAATCCAATGATTACAAAATCCCGCATCTATGTAACAAAAATGATTTTACATCCGGTGCTGTTGGTCATGCCTGAGAATAGGTATAGAAGTGTGGATGTATTTAGGTAAAGTCAACGGTTGGTTAAAATATGCATTGTGTGCGGGTGTTCATATAACGTTTTGGTCTGTTGCGATCTACTAGCAAAACAGTATCTCAAGGTTGAACAGACGGTGAAGATAGTAAGGAAAAACTGTCGTAGATTGAGAAAAGTACTAGGAATTCCTAGCGGTAGTTGATGAAGTAAGCGCTGTACAGAAGTGTGACATAGCAATGGTGGTTGTTTGGCCTTTATCTTTCGGTTTGGCGTAACTTAATGTGTTATTAGAGAGGACGAAGGGAAGGCTGTTGGGAACCATTTCTATTTTATAATGAAATTATTTCTCAAGAAGAAAGAGGTATACCGAAAGGGATTGGTTAAATACGTCTGATTTTGATCGTTGGTATCATGTAAACATGAGGAATGCACTGCAACGCTGTTCTTAATTCGCTTTCAACTGTTCACTTTCGGTCTCGAGAAGATGCCTCTTGTGGCTCCTTCTTTGTGCATCTTTTATGGAATTTTAATGAACCGGTATATGTCAAGGTAACTTTGGACAGTGGGGAACAAAAGCACAGGCGAATAACGTGCAAATCATTGTCATATGAGTGAGGTCTTTGAAAGGACGACATAGAATTTGTTGGAGTGACTTATTTTCGCCATCTTTTTGAAATGATGTTTATATTACAAATCTGTAATTATTTTTTCCTTTTTTTTCAATTTTAAAACGTTATACATTTTTATCCGTTGCATATCGGTGGCATTATTGGTGCAAAATTGGATCATGCCTTTGTGTTACATCAGTGGCATTGGTGTTGTTGCCGTCGGCATTATTTTTATTTTGACTGGAAATATTTAATAATTGTTTGCTAACTACCAGTGAAAGTTTCAGGACCTGTGTTGAAGATGACTGGAATAATTATTCCAGAAATATATACTCGAGAAAGTAATACTGACCATAATGGGCGAAGGGTACCAATTTCTCCCACGAAAAAATTTAGTTATGGCACAGCCGGCTTTCGAGCTAATGCTACCTATCTGCCTTTTGTTGTATTTCGTGTTGGATATCTGGCTGGTATCCGTGCGAGGTATTCCATCTTGACAGTTTATTAATTCAGTATCATCCACACATATAAATATAGACAATACCACAATAAAATATCCTGTACTCGCCAACTTTTTATTACCTGATAATGCTAGCATTGCAAAAAAAAAAGTTCGAATAGCTGAAATTCAATTTGTTAGATATTTGTTAACCTTTTGCATTTTCTTCCATTTTTTCCTGTCTCAAAACAAAGTTCATTTATTTAGTGGTTGAGTTAGTGTTTTCTACACTCCATATTTCAGGTATTTAGATCAAACTATAGGTGTAATGATAACGGCATCACACAATCCGATGGAAGATAATGGAGTCAAAATAATTGACCCGATGGGAGGCATGTTGGACGCTACATGGGAGAACTATGCAAATTTGATTGTTAATGCCAGGTCTTTTTTCCTTACCATTTGCAGCTTCTCTGAGTCTTACTCATCGTTTACTCATTTATGTTGTGAAACATTGCCTGATGTTTGTATAAATAATCGTGGAAAGCGAAATTTTTGCGTTCAGCGACAGTGAATTTCTGAAAAAGTTACAAGAATTTCGACGACAGTTCAGTGGAAGAATTGGTGGAAATGCCAGTGTTTTTACAGCCATTGATACACGTCCAAGTTCGAAATATATAGAAGAAGCCGCGTTCTATGGAGTGCAATGTGCCAGAGTTGGTGGTCGAAGACTGGGTGATCAATTTAATATTTTATTGTTGGATGGCATATCCCATTGAACTGAAGTAGAAGATTTCACTACTATTTATAGACAAGCAAGATACATATAACCATCATTCAAGGATAAATCGTAGTGCTAAATTTTCCTGCTTAAGTCATACCTGTGGAATCTATTCACGTCATATCTTATATTGGCCGATTAAAGCAAGGTGATACGACAGTGACAAGCGAATCTATGAACTGAATAATGTGAACAGCTGGCATATTAAAACTTTTTTGAGAGGTTGATATGTTTAGTGTGTTCCTTGTACAGTTGCACCATCATGGAGAAACTCTCTGCATTGCAGCATTTTTGGTTGAGGGTTACATAAACAGTAGGATGTTAAAGCCATGACTTTCGGAACCAGCAAAAAAATGTCAAAATACCCTAGTTTTCGTTATAAAGTAGGTCCAGCCACTGTAATCATTAGTACGTCATAACTTCATTTTTCGGTTGAGAAATTTTCACACTTGTTTAAATCTGTTAAACATAATTTCAGGTCTACTAACAACTCCTCAGTTGCACTATATAGTACGCTGCCAGAATGATTCTGCATATGGTGCCCCTACTGAGGTCGGATATTATGAAAAAGTGCACAATGCTCTTGCTGGTTTGAATTTGGTAAGCCCTCACACAAAAAAATTATTTGATGTGATCTGTTCTGGACTGTGTCGGATTACAAGTTATTCTTCAAACCGATAACTTTAAATTGCAACTGCTGACCACAAACAAGTCTTTCAAATTTGAAAAGCGGTACAACAGGTTACAACAGGTTACACGATGTGGAAAAGCATATAACCCAACACTATATTTGGATTGTGCAAATGGTGTTGGTGCTCAAAAGTTTCCCTTTATGTGCAGGAGGTGGTCGATTCTGGTTGTCAATTTAATGAATGGTCAAGAAGCACACCTCAATGATCAGGTATCTTTTATGTAAGGATTGTGCACATAAAGATTGTGGCTTTCTCATTTTCATACTATTCAGCAGCTTATAGATTTAGTTGGCATCATTTACCTTCATTTTTGATTGAAAGTAGACGATCGTGTAAGTGAAATGTGCTTATCATTACAATTTCCTATAGGGTTTAACAAATTTCAAGAATTGATCTCGGGTATGAGGATGTAATAGAAGTTTTGATTTTTCACTTAATTTCGTTCAACCATAGCATTTGGTGTCAGAAGTACGACTGAACATTATATTTGTTTCTGAGCCAAGTGAGTATGCGAAACATCCAGCTTGATTCTATAAAACGTGATGGTTCTAATAAACGTTGAGATATTTAAATTCATAAATATGTATGAACAGCTTGTCTGGGAATATGACATTATTATTACATAGGTATAACCTAATCAACGATATATGGTTGGTTTACATAAAAAGAGTGGTTAGTCGCAAATGAAAATGAATAGCTCTGAAAAAGAAATTTGACGGGACTGTTGACAGTAATGTGACAGCATCTGAAAAGCAAAAACACAATACATGGAGTAATTATCACAAACTTAATATTTTACGACTTTTCTTTGCCTAAGATATCGCTTTTAGTGTGGAGCAGACTATGTTAAAATAGAAAAGAAATTTCCACGCAATTTCGACAAAATACAAGCTTTTGAACGCTGTGCCGCTTTTGATGGTGATGCCGATCGTCTTGTTTATTTCTATCGCGATACTTCGAATGATTTTGTTTTAATTGATGGTGATAAAATAGCAGCTCTTTTCGCGAAGTATATTACAGAGGTACGCACTTCTTTTTCTCAAAAGGATTTGACAACCCATCTAGAAGGCAAAAACCTTGAATCTATCCTTTGCAGCAGGTTAGTGGTGCGGGACTCAGTGATGTGTTTACCGTATCAGTAATACAAACAGGTTATGCAAATGGTAACTCCACCAAATTCCTAAGAGACGAAATGGTAAGTGTAAATGTAGAATTATTTATTTCCAGTTCGTACCTACATATCATTGGATTGTGATGTATGTTCCAAAATGTTGAAAAAGGTGTTTTGCATCACAGTTATAAGATTCACCAAAACAGTTGCTGAGAATCTAAAATATGTAATTTAACACACTAAGGTATTGTTTATTCATATGTGCGGAAGCGCAGTCATTTTTCAATTCATTTGACTTTTCAATAATTTTAGGGTGTTCATGTATGTTGTGTTGCAACAGGCATTAAAAACCTGCAGAGAGAGGCGACAAAGTATGACATTGCGGTATATTTCGAATCAAATGGACATGGAACTGTATATTTTAGCCCTCGATTCTATGATATTATAAGGTTATTGGCTGGTTTCATTACCATTCCATTGTTAACTACTCTTCATTGTCAAATACATCCCAGCAGCAGTTCATACTTTCTACTTATTTTAGTTTGTTTTTGTTTATTAGATGTTAGCTGATCAATTTTTGAAACTCCGCGCAAATCAATGTTTTAGATGTAAAAATCCTGTAGTATTTTAGGGTATTAGGAACTGAAAAGCAATTTTCCAGGACAATAATCACTCACAAGGATGAAAGTGACCAAACAATTCAAATCAAGAGGCTACTTTATTTCTCCAAATTGCTGAATACAGTTATGGGTGATGCGATGACGGATTTGTTCGCCGTTGAAATGCTTTTAAAACATTATGACTGGACGGTAGAAAACTGGAATAATATATATAAGGAATTACCAAATGTGCAAAGAAAACTAAAAGTGATTTTTTCCCCGAAAAAAAACCACATATCTCCCTTCTATTTCTGTATCATCCACTCTAAATTTTTTAGTTGCTTTACTGCCGGAAATATAAACTAACCTGAAATATGGTACCGAAGTAGAGCCAAATGACATAGATATTCTGTCTTTCATGAGGATGACAAATAGGTTGGAAATCGAACGGCATTTCAAATGAGTGCTGATGAAACAACGTGTGTGGAACCGCGAAAACTGCAAGAAATGATAGATACCATTGTTTCGAAGTACGATGATGGGCGCGCATTTGTCCGGTCAGTTTTTTTTTTCTTTATCTAGATTTTGAGTCGGCAAGCAGGAATATGAAATGCAGTTGTATCACTCTACATTAAGACCATTTAGTATTTCATTTTAGACCATCCGGTACCGAAGACGTGCTGCGTATTTATGCTGAAGGAGCGACAGAACACGAGGCGGCGGCAATTGCCAATGAAGTAGAGGTTGCAGTCTGTAACGTACTGCACATAAGTGGTGGTAATGCATCTGAACAGCAATTAACCGAGGGACATATTAGCGAAGTGACTTCATCGATCGCATATGAACTGTAAATGTATTTAATGGCATTGTGTGACTCATCTCTTCTCATATTGGCTTTCATGCTTTTGTCAAGGAACGCGAGAATAGTGGATCATTTATTCCTATCCTGTAAAAAGCTGTGGCACATCATTTGATAAAAATAGTTACCTCTGGGACAAGTTCTGAGTTACTTTTTTTCATCCTATCGGAGATGAAAGCAGAATTCTTTTATATTTTCCAGTCTTTATAAGGTCGTATAATTCACTTCCTTTCAGATGGGAACTAAATGCGGATCAAGAAATTTGGACAATTTATTTCCTTTTCAAACAACAAAAAGCTGAAATAACGTTTATTTCACAAGTCTTTTTTTCGCATCTTTTAGCCATTCCATTCGCTGTTCTTTAAATTTCCGCAAATTTAACTTCATGCAGATCAGACGCAACGTTTTGCAATGATTCTGAAAAGCGTAAATTAATCGTCCCTTACCTTATAGGAACAGTAAGTTTACAAAAGCATCCTGAACTCCGTAAGAGACCTAGCTTAGTAAGAGTAACATTAGCTACCAAAAAAGAAAAAACTAGGAATCCTTCGTGGCAATGAAAGCGGCGTGACTTTTTTTTCGACCTCTAAAATGACCGTTTAACATCTGCTGCACTATACAGGCCGTTATATAGCACAAATAACATGGAAAACTTCCACATAAAGCTTAAAGGGAATCAACTTCCACTACGCTACAAAATTGTGCAAATGTCATTTCACAAATATAGGAAGATATGCAAATGCAGTCTCAGTGCCACTCAGATTTGTGGATTGAGAGAAGGAACTGTACCTCAATCACTGCTCTCGACAAAGCGTTCATTAATGCCTCTTTCTCCGCGATATTATAAAGATCATTTATCCAGAGAACGTCGAATACATGGCTTGAAACATTATTAGTTATCACTTCATGCCATTTCAGCTGTAATTAATAAATAATTTATTACAGATATGAATCCGGGTTCAATATCCGCAAGAACCATTAAGTTTCTAAAACAATTCTGTCGCTTTGAGAAACACTACCTGTAAAAAAGGCATAAAATGACTGCTGGGTATTGCATTACTAAGCTACATTCTCATAAAAGTCACTTCCTAATTAATGAAGTAATAACCTTCAAAGGTCTGGCAATCAGTTCTTTATCAGTTCGCGAAACAGTAGTCGATTTAAAGAGAGTTTGCAACAGGAAACTGCCTTTCTTATTTTGGGCCATTTCGAGAATTGTTGTACCCGCTAGCGATTTCATTGACATAACCACCATTTTATTATGCTCGTAATTTATAAGTTCTTGAAGAATAAGGGAGCCATGTAATTGTCCTTTCACAACATCAAAAGTCCCCATAACTACAACAGACCTATTAAAATCAAATGAACGAGTAAAATTACGGGTATTTCAACAAACCAGTCAACTGTAAAAGGTATGAAGTAACCACTGGAAAATTTACACTGTGCAGAAGTCTGGCAAGTAAGAGTGAATATACATGGTACAAATGCTGGTCTTGCAGATATAGACCGACATCTGAAATAATTCCTTAATTTTTTGACAATAGCCACTTCATCTCTATTGCGAGCCATTTGAACCAGTGCAGTAATAACAGGCCATTTAGATTTAACGCAAATATCCGTGAAGTGATCCATTAGCTCGTCAAAAATGTTAACAATCTGAAATAGTCGTTCGACCTGCAGCATATTTGACAAAAAAAAAAAAAAAAAATCGACAGTACTGGGATCGCATGATGAACAAGAACAAGAAAGTCTAAAATCTCTTATCTCTAACAGGTTTGGAATCTTTAATTAGATAAATTGGAATGGTGCATTTGATGACTAGTGAGAAATTAGAAACCGAAATGTTTGAAAATCTTTAATTTCTCCAAATGAATTTACCTAGCTAGATCAACTCGTTTGAAACAAACGAAAACAAAGGGATTCAACCCGTGCCATCCGTGTTTTCATTATTTAGCACGAAAGCCGATTCTTGTAGACTTACAGTAGCTTTCTTGAAACTACTAAATACGTACCAGTTCATTAGATCTTACTGATAATATATATTTTTGCATAGGAAAATTGGCGAACATATGTAATGAGAGATCGAACAACCTGCCTTGTAGAACGGAATGATATAAAATTCGACGGAGATCCTCATCAACCTACAAATAATGCGAATTTACTAATGCAACGAATTTAGTCCAAAGCCCTACTTAAACACTTGTAATACAAACCTTCTGCACTATAACGTCCCATAAATGAGAAGCCTGCTTTCCCTTCCACTGCTTTAAAACGGAATCAGGACATCTGCAAGCTGCTTCAACAAATTTTCGAAGATAGCCAGTTTGATAAACAGTATCACATTCGACCACATCTTGCAGCACCAAAGAAACTGATTCATTGTCCAACATGACTGTAAGCTCCATTTGTAAAGAAATATTTGCGATTGACATTAAATACCAGATCAAAAGTCTGAGTGTAGATCAATTTCCACTTTAATTTTTAAGTTCTAAGAGTTAAACCATGAAACTGAAAATGTCATTAAAATTATCCACTTGTCCCACTTACCGTTCACTGAAGCGTAATCCAGGGCCACACTTGCAAGTCTTTCAAAATTTTCTTTAGCTGCTTGGTTGATCTGTACTTTTTTGGACAAAACATCCTTCGCTAAACATTTTCCCATCTTTTCCGATCTCTTCTTTTTGAGACCAACGAGGTGATATGCAAGGGTACGAATAAAATGGGTGGCATTTCTGTCAGATATTAGCTGAATCCAATTTTCTAAAACTAGATCCACCCAATGAACAATGATCTGGAATGAATAATAGTCAATAATGAGAAATTACTCAAGAAGCAAGGTGCATTCAATACGACACACTTAATGTTCTTGAGAAATCGCACAACGAGCACAATCATGCTGGAATATTTAAATATTTGCTGCATTCGAAAATGGACAAAATTCATATGCTAAAACAAGTAGATCTCATAAGCAAGTAAACAGTTTTAACTTGAAACTAGAAGTTTCGACCAAACAATATCTATCCGTAATTTCCAATCAACTAAAGAAGTGGAAATCAGTTCAGTAACTGCCAATAAGACCAATTAAAAAGGTACATACCTCAATATCTAGGATGTTAGACAGAGAAGAAAGCAAAGTTTCCAAAGTGTGACAGGCCCACGGTGTGCAGAGGAGCTGCAGCGAAATCTCTTTTCTCGACTGCACAATCTTAAACATCCACTGCCTTGCAGCGTCGCGGCAGCCGTTGAAGATTTCGTCAATTAGAAAACAAGATGTACTGAATTTGCACAAAGAAATTTCAGAATTTTGGCATTCCTCCAAACATTTCCTTTGTAAATCACCTAGAAATATATGAGCTTCTTCTAGTATAATCAAACCATACCATAAAGTAAATTTTCATATACTCTCTATGCAACCTCAGGTAATGAAATAATAGAATAACACTAAAATTAACACTAAAATTTAACACTAAACTAACACTAAAATTTCAATCTACCTAACACAGAAGGATCATTCCTGATAATGCAAGCAACTTGTTTCATGTATTCAATAAGTTCTGAAGGATATTCCATGCTGTGTTCAAGTTCTTCAGTCTCTATAGCCAGTTCGTTCTTTTCATAAAAACTTGGAATACTGAATCGCTGGTCCAACTTCCTTCCTTTATATCTAAAAAAAAAAAATCAAAACGAGTTCTCCATATGAGAAGAGTGGCGCTGATTTTTTACACTTAAAAGAGATCTTTCTTCAGCAAACATTTACTTAATACCTTAAACAGTGTTTTTAAAACGAATCTTGTCGAGTACCATAAATCCGTCAGGGTACAAAAGAAAATGAAACCCATATGTCGGACATACCACAGTATAACCAAATGCGAACCAAGATTTTAATTAAAAGAAAAAGCGATCCATACTTCACATCATATTCAAAATGTCCATATCGTTTGTTAAAATCCTTCATGTATTCATTGCTCCATATATTACCCACTTCTAAAAATGTCTTTCTTGCAAATTTTATTCCAACGGATCTCTCGAAACGTCCCTGTCAATCCTCTTAAAAATCATCTAATCTAATTCACTAATGAAACAACATCTCTGTCACTTACCACCATCGAGTGCATCGGAAGCGCGACCTCCCCAACAGTTTCCGGAAACATCAGCACTCCTTCTTTTGCGAGTCATCTGAAAGAAACAATAATCTCAGAATTCATGGTCACCAACATTATTACGAGTGATGCTGCTTCCTTATATTTCCTTCCATTTAGTAATGCATAATTTTACAGAGCAATTTCGTCTAAAAACTTTCGATGTAAAGCAGAGTTAATGCGGAAAATTCTACCCTTAACATGAATTATCCTTCTACCAAGCGTACACTCAGTACTAAAAAAAAGAAAAAAAAATAGAATGAAGCGAAATATACGGGCGAGATTGGACAGTAATGCATTTATGAAACAGCAGTTGCAGTGAGCAAACTTTTAATGCAAAGTTAACACGGAACAGAAACAATTACATCATAAAAATGCGCAAAGTATGACACAATTGATAATGTACGTATACACCTCATACTCATACATATGTACTCCATCAGTATCATAGATAAAAAGAACAGATATTCATATGAACAGAAAAGATTGAACAGATCGTGCTGAAAGAGCATATATACGTTATGTTTACTCCAATCTAAACAGTTTTGTAAAGGAACAACCGATGAGCTTTTTCAGGGTCTAAATTTGAAAGCATTAAAACACTACTTCTCAATAATATATTCTGTTTACGTACGGAATAAAGCCGATAAGGACGAAAACATTCTTTAAATTTGACGTCACGGATAATTCGAAATTCCAACAGTACTGCACCAATACAGTTCCGAAAAATGACATTCACAAAACAATCCCTTAAAAAGAAAAGCTATATTACCTATTCTTCCTTGACAACTCTCTAAGGGACATTTTCAATTTTCTTCTTCACTACTTAACTGTAAAATGAAAAACTGTCAACGTGTTCAAATTGTTTATTGACTCCTAAGATCAGAGTAACGAACCACCTGTCGCTAGGAATACCTAAAGAAAAACTAGACAAACCACTTGAAAATCGCCGCTGTTATACGATAGCAGAACTGCATACTCAACACGAGAGCAAAACGGTCAACAACGGAAAAGTATTAAAAAAATTAAACAACATGAGGAAGACACCGGGTAATTGCAGCATTATTACGTTATTTCAGTGTCCAATGACCAATGGAGTTTTCCATATATCTCCAACAATGTTTCTTGTAAATCGAAATGATTACTCAATATCCTAAGGTAACTCGTGTTACTTAGGGTCTAACACCTTTTTCTACATTGAAATCCGAAAAAGCAAACAAAATTGGCCATAAGAAAGCAGAAGATCATTATTACGTTGAATCAAATGACCGCTTATTAATTTCCAAAGTTTCTGGACCTGTTTAGCAAACAACCACACCAATTCGACCTCAACAAAAGTGAACTACACGTTAATATCAATTCAAAATTCTCAGTAATTTTTCAAAGGCTTGTAGTTCCGCGGCATATAACTGAGAGTAAAATGAGCTATCATAATAAAACCTGCATTGCATCATTGTAAGCCAAACACAAATCTGTCTGAAACACCTTTTTGAAGACATTTTGAATTTGCGAAAGAAAGGAAAACAAAGAAAAAAGGAATCTGAAAGAGCTGTTACTGCTTCGTTAAGTAATCCACGAAATGGCGTCTATAAAACACGCGCATAAAAACTGGACTTTACCAACAATATACAGCACTAAAATTTGAAAGCAAAGTATTCAAGTTCAGTAACAAAAGTAGCCCACCGGCAACAATATTAAATACGTATCATTCCTTAACATGCAGAATTTGCAAAAACCATATTCGAATATAATAGTATTCTATAACAGCAAATAAACATGCCGCAATAAGCGGAAGTGATATGAGCGATAGGAATTGTTACCGTCCACAAACGCTACTAATTGTTAAATTGACAGCTTATAATATTTAATTTGAAGAAAAAAAACGCATTGAATCGAACAGCAAAAAAAAAATGTTTTCTCACGAAAAATGTAAAGTTCCATTATATCCGATAATTTATTCTATAATTTATTCTAGTTCCTCACCGTTACTGCTCCTAAATCTTTGATTACCGTGGTCAGGAATTAGAAATCACACATTTATACAATTTGCAGAACTGATGCAATATCGAAAGTGTGCCAATTTGGCAGTTTTACATAAACCAACAAAATGAAGTCAGCGAAGATACAACCGTACTGGCAAACTGGAAAGCAAATCATAAAAATGTACCGGTAAAAATTACTTTGTAAAGGATAGTGCTCAAATCAAGAAGATGAGAAATCATTCCCTTTCCACATACGTTACACTGAGACGTTAAACAAGTGCTTTTTAAGAGAAAACAATGCAAGTTAATCAAAGCACGCACACTAGGAATTCTTGAGCTTATTTACGCAAACCGTATAACTTGGGAGATGCCCAAATAATTGCAAAAATTTCAAATAATTACGCATTTACGCTTTTTTCGAGGTTTGACACACTGCTTTTCTTTATGTTTGCGTATTTCCCTAACCAATGTATAGAATGCGTCATCCACACCCATACGTGTCTTGGCAGACGTCTCCACGGCAGGCATTCCTAGTGAGCGAGATGCATCCAATATAGCACGTGACTCTACTGTCCTTTGCGCCAAATCACATTTGTTACCCACAAGCACCATCGGCACCTGCAGTAATATTTCGCACATTTAATTCTGTATTCCGTATACTTCCCATTACTTAAGTATAAATATATGTAAACAACATGTACTCACCCATGCATAGGATAAAATGAATTCATTGTAGCATAAGCTGATGAAAGAAAGCAGCTTACCTCATCACTATCTTTGACTCTTCGAATCTGATCACGATACTGAGTAACATTCTCAAAACTTTTTGCTTCATTAACGGCGAATACCAGCAAAAAGCCTTCACCAGTCCTCATATACTGGTCCCGCATTGCACTGTATTCTTCTTGCCCAGCAGTGTCCAAAATATCCAGTAGACAAGTTTCGCCATCGATTACAACCTGCAAAATGCAAGACAGCACATTGGGGTAATCATAACCAACTTGAGAAGTGAGCATTAGAAACGCAGTGTAGTTGAGAAATAACAAGAACGCAACCTGCTTGCGGTAGGAATCTTCAATTGTCGGATCATATTCTTCAACAAAATGGTTCTGGATCAGCTGAATGGTTAAGGCCGACTTGCCTACACCACCATCACCAACTACTACGAGTTTGTATTCGGTCATCGAAACCCCCTCTGCTCTGTCAATTAACTTTTAGCTTAATCGCTCTTCATTCGAAATAAGAGCTGCAAAAGAAAAAACAACAATAAATAGTTCCGTCATTAAGATAATAATCATGGGAATGCACCGTTAAAAGTGATGTTCCGTGAATTGTTCCTTTAAAGTAACCATACAACAAATACAGCAGTGATTTCAATCATTAGAAATAATGTTTGAGTAAATGTAAGCCACGAATGTAAAGAAATATCGATTGCGCAAGTACAGGGGCAAGAACAAAGCTTACTGGAAACATGTCAATAAACTGTAAGTAAGACTGCTCATTCCCTAAGCCAGTTTGATGCAAACAAAAAATATATTTTGTAAATGGTCATTTTTTGCTCATAGCTTTAATGTACAGAAAACAGCTTCCGATGAACGCTAATCTTTATAAGAAACTTTTTATAGATATGACGACTATAGAACACGGTTTTACCAGTCAAATTCCTACTTTTCTAACAAGAACTTTTCTTACGCATACGCGAAAAGACAATGCGTGGGTCATGGACAGGAATAACGGAAGGCTGTACTATAACAGTAAGCTATATAATTAAAGAATTGAGGAACACTTGAGACTAACAAAATTAACTAATTCACCATGAAAAAAGGATGCGAAACTCAATCAAAGCTGGTCGAGTGTCGTCATATCGAATAAATTCAAAATTAACATCATCAGCTGTGGGAAAAATCGACCAGCAAAACAGCATGGACCGTCTGTTTATCCATACAATTGTTAAATAAACCTACATATAAAAAGTTACCTAACGGCGAAGCGTTTAGCTCTTGACATGAATCAATAGCACCGATATCGATTATAGGAACTTTACCGCCTTGGTTAAGTTCATACACACTATGCGTCACTGAATCTAACAATTCGTCATCTGCAAGCCATTTGTAAGCTTCCTTGTAGATTACTCCACCCTCTCATTTTTAAAAAAAAGTACAGACATAACATTCCGATAAAAGCACTTCAAAATGCATACAGAAACAATTAAACAGACGAAAGTAACCAAGTAGTGACAATAATGCATATGAAAATAATCTCACATCAAAACATCCAAAGAAATACACAGATGAACTGCTGCAATATGAATCACGAAGGTTCTTGGTAGCCGACAAAATAACTCCTCATTATAATTGATAATCTTGTTTTTAACATGACCAAACATTCCATAAAGGTTGGTAAACGGTTGACCCTGCTTCTCCCTCTGTCCAAAAAATCCATTAAAAGGATATCGAAGCAATCCGGGAGCACCAAAATTCCACAGGCACCACTCCTAACAGTACACCACACCCAACTTACCTCGCTCTTCATCCCAAACAAAATTGCGAAACAAATCGAGTCCGGAGAATTGTTCGTTGGCACCGCGCCAGCTACTGCACAACCAAAAATGACAGTTGTGACTGTATCACTCTATCAGACCCCCCAGTGCAACCATTTGTGTATCTCAGATTATTATACTCACGAGCCATACTATCTGCTGCTCCATCGGTTGCTCTTTTCTCTCCTCTGTTCCTTTAACACTTGTCCAAAGTCTCTTCTTCTCTGCAACCCCCTTCTCTTTTCTCGCAACAATTACAATCCTTCTTTGTCACATCTATGCCTTCATTTGCTGTGATTGTTTTCACTGCTAATTATATATTTAAAGCCAAAGTTGCAGTAGCAGTTTCAGTGTGCATGCATGTGCGTGTATGTGTGTTTGTTTAGCGTATGGGGGATAAGACGTTCGCTGTAAAAGAAGGGTTGCATCAGCTGTGATTACCATTTAATGCGTCAGTTGCAGGTTGCAGATTGTTGTCCAATGTAAAAGGTAACTATCCAGTAGTATTAGACCTGTGAGAGGTATTGCCTGATAGCAAGGTTGTGCGACTGAGTTACTCCCATATTTATTTATCACTGCTGCATATGTATCATTCAAACTTTATCTTTCAATTTCTAACGGTGTGATATTCCCACAGCACGATTGGCCAGCTTGGATATATTGGGAATGCATTTTTCATGTTTCATTGTTTAAAGTTTTATTCCATACTTGTACATGCTTTCCAATAAATCGTGAGGTGCTGAGGTAATCAGTAGTTTTAGTCATTTGAAGAAATCGGGGGACATAGTGACTCATCATCCGACGCATTATGTCCATTTTTCATTTCCTTGAGAATGAAATGATTTTAATACGAAACAATGATTCTACAGTGACTTTGTTCGATTTGCTAACTTTTTTACTGGTTCCTCTCTTGTTGAGTGATCTGTCTACAGTGGTGGACAAAAGTTTTTAGCCGTCCTGGAATAAACACCACAACATGTAATGTCACTTCGCAACTAACAAACATTCCACATGGATTTCATTTATTTGATTGAGGGAGGCGGAAGCGGAAGGGAAGGTCTCACACTAATTTTTAGAAAATTCTTTTCAGACTTTCGGCATGGTCGATATCAGTAATATAAATACTCGAAATGAGAACGCTTGATGAAAATACAATACCCCGTCATACCATTAACATAGTATTTTAGGAATTGGCGTGATTCAGTTGATAACTTCTGAATTTTTGCTGAGTCATGTTTACTTTTGATACTAGATATTATCAAAGTTGTTTACATTAGAAATAAACTTGGAAATTTCGTGATCGAATCATAGCGTTAAGGAATACTAAAGTTCAAATATACATGGAAAGAAGCAAGTAAGCTTATAAATATTTTTAACTGCATCACAATTAACGTAAAGTTTGATCTTAATGTGGCACTCAGTGGTGAGGTCATTTCGCTATGATCAACAGCTGCACTTGTGGCGATATTCTTTTCTGTATTAACCTGTTGTGGAAGCTGGAAAACGTCCTTCTCTTCCTTTGTTCCTCGCCTGTTTCCCATTTCGTTGTCATAAATACGGTCATCAACGTCGAGCATTGTATTTTCTTCGTTTTCATCAATTTCGGGAATGTTAGTCTCCCAGAATAATTCACTGTCAGTACTATTTGGAAGAGTGATATCCAGCGTCTTCGCCATGTTCCCATCAAGCTTCTTTTCTGATTCCTTCATGTCATTTTTAATATCTTTGATAAACCTGAAAGAATGTCAATGACTTTTTAACAAAGATAATTAGCCAACTACTTATGCCATATCAAATATGTTATCCAACGAAAAATTTGACACGTCAACCGTGTCACCGCATGCCGGGACATTTTGTCTACTTGTTTCACCATGGAGATTATTTATAATGGTTTAAATTCTTTGCACTCGGCAGTTAATCTTTGAAAGCTTCCTGCAGCATTTTTGAAACATATGGTAAATATTAAGTCTGTTCCCCTTCCCTCTTATTTTCCGGTTAGATGCGGGAAAGCTCAGTTTTTCGAGATGCACTGCTTTCAGAAATCAACTAGAAATCTAGTACTTACTAAGCTGACAATTTTTTGCCGCTATAGTTGGTCTTATCGATAACTAGAGAGGACCAAAACTAATTTTTCAATGTTCTTGACCATATATCATGTTCGCGTACCAAGTTTTTCTATATGCATTAAAATGAAGTGACAAATAGTCGATTACTAATACAGATGCGGGTTTCCATAACATAAAAGATATGAGTGTTTTTTCATGTTTGTTTAATATTTTCTCATTGTTTTTTAGTTTTTGTTGAATATCGAACGTGAAATTTGTCCTCAAGTTCAACAAAAGTCACCAGAAGTCGTTCACTGCGCCATCATTTGCGACAGTCAATTTAAGCTTTCGTAGACCGGAAGTACATTTTTTTTCGTATTCTCTGCGTATTTCTTCTGTAAAGATTACTGCATATAATTAGACAAAAATTATACCAATCCGAGCCAAAAGGAAATGTGATTGTCAAAACCATACGCACGTGGAGTTTGAAGTGTGGGAAAGTTGGCTGGGTGAAATATTGCTTCTGGAAAATAAAATCATCTTTTTAAGAATGTCTTTTAAGTAAAAAAATCAAATGCTGTCACACATGCACAATGAAAGAAAACGTCTCAAATTTTTGTGTCCTGGTCGTTATTGTAGCTTTGGAGTCATATTTTCTGTCGTAAACTCCCTGTCATCATTTTTAAGCGCGAACTTATGAAGCTGTCAGGCAAATATCGAAGCAAATTTCATCTCAGAACAAATAAGCCTAATAAAAATAGTTGAAAAATGCAAAGGTTTTATCCTTGCTAGTCTTGCTACTGAGAAACACTAAAATAGCGGTGTAAATCATTTAATTCTCAAATAAATAGGGTATTCTTCACGGTACACTGCACTATTACAGCAATGGTATTAGTAAATAACGGGTTAATGTCGCAGCTTAGGGAAAATTTGACTAGAATTATGAACTGTTCGGCCGTCACTGTGACAGCCTCAATGTTTTAATCCTGTTTAGCCTGTGATCACATCTGAGAAATATAAACAGAAATGTAATGAGGATTACAAATTTCATTATTTCAAAGTTAGTATCCATTTAACATGCTTTATGTGTTGCAACTCAGTTCAGACAATCAGCGCATAGATATGTGTTCTCGGTTTTTCAATTGCTGAGGCAAATTCCCCGCAGTACCGTCAACCGTTATTGCTATTACTGGAGTGGCTTTGAGTAGATAAACTTTATAAACTTAAATGGAGATTCTGAGAAGCAAGGAGCTGGAGACTATCCCAAAAAATTATATATTAATTTAGTTGGTGACCACTGCATGAAAATTTTGCAATGCAATATTTACCATTGATGCGTGAGTGCCAACAGTATAGTTGGGCGTACCGTTGTCGGTATTTCGTTTTTCTTCCGAATTTCATCACCTATAGTACCAACTGAGCGACCATTTCCATTTCAGAATGGAATCAATCAGTTTCATTTATTGTTGTTCTCCCAACAGAAGCAGTTGTCGAATTGAACAGTATGTTCTGATGACGCGTGTGACATTATTAACTGAGTATTTGGAACATTTTGTGTATATAATTGCCTCACATCACCTGTAGCCTGTCTATTTTAGGTAACGTCAAAATAATCTTGCCCAGAGGTAAGCTTGGCAAATATAAAAAGTTGATGTTGTGTTATGTATTGTGAATGCCAGCTGAAACTGAGTGGAGTTACTACTGTAAAAGAGTTCAAAATCAGTGGGAAAGTCACGGTGTTCAGCCGCTGGATTGGAAGAACCCGTAACATAAGCCGCGTGCAAAAGATGAAACATTCATGGTGAATATTTTAGGTTGATAAGCGAAATCAGTAAATCCCAAATAAAAGGTCGAAAATTAACACTGCAGAGGAAAGTTTCTCCTATAGGCACAAATCAGATCTGGAAGTTATATTTCTTAAGGGAAATCGCGAAGGTTAGATTATGAATGACGAATTCATTGACAATAGTGATTCGAGAAATTTCATCATTTTTTGAATCAATACATTAAAAAATTATTTGGCACAAATCTAGTATTATAAGGCTGCCGATTATGGTTTCGAAAATTTCATTCTTAAAGTGAGCTTCCACTTACCGAAAGTGGGTATATTCCTTGTCGATAAATCAGCATAAGTTTGTTTCCGTAGCATACCAATATCACCTACAAAATCCAAATGGAGCAATCGTGTTGAGCCATTACGAATCCGCAGATTTGTTAAATACAGTTCGGAAGTGGCTCCCATTTCCTGAAACTCGTCAATACACAAATTGCAGTGATTTCTTTCAAAGTGCAATTAATGTCGAAATATTAAATGTTAGAATTAATCTGAATTACCATGAACCGAACTAGCTTACAGCTTCCATAGATTTCTGTTGGATACTAAAAGGTGAATTTTTTTTCCACTGTCAATGCTCTAGTTTAGTTAAAGCTACAAAGGATCAATTACCCTGCGAATGGATTCAGTAAACATCATTAATTGACATCGATAGCAAACGATTCAAACCATGCTTGCATGCGATGTATTCCATCGACTTCAATCCATTTGGGGGGTAGATTAAATGACCTGCAAATTAACTGTTGACTTTAATCTCAAAAGTTGATTCAATTTGATTCCAAAAGTTGAAAGTATTTAGACTAGACTAAGTCGAGACCCGAAAAGCAAATCGAACAAACATTCGGACAGTAAATTTCTTTGAAGACGATTGAAAGTATGCAGTACTGAACGCTTCAAACCGAGCTCGACGATGAACTGGTTGAATTGTTCAGCATTTTCATGATTACCTATTAATAATTTTAATTCTCAGTATTCCTTTACAAAATAACTCCTAAAGTATGATTAGAAGTTCTTTAGGATTTTACTCGACGTAAGACGAACACATAATCTCATCGCGATTTTTTGGGGAAACCGAAAACAGTTGAAGCAGAAACCTTTTCCTGATTGATAAACTATAAATTTTTCCACTGCTACCAAGTTACTATGCTCATTTATCTGGAAATAATTTTTTATAAAACTTTTTCAGCACTTGGAGAATTTTTGATGTTTATCAAAAGATTTTTTGATCGAAGAATTAGCACAATAAGCATGGCCTAAAAAGTGTTGAATTCTAAAAAATCAATTAAATTTTGAAGACAAGAATTTGAGATAAGCCAAAAACAAACCCGAAATCGTCGTATATCCCATTGAGAGCCAATTGATTTGACATTAATAAAATAAATGATGTCAGAAAATGTTATGTCTATGAAGGGTAAATCAGGCTCAAGAATAAAATTATCTCTGAGATCTGAACAGGCAGCATACAGTAGTGAAATATTGAGTAACTGCAATTGTAATTCGTCGCGTTGTACGGATTTTCAACAACTCAGTGGTGTAGGTACATCAGAACATGTTTTAATGTATTCATAACTAAACATAAGGTCAGACAAAGCATACAACCCTCACATTAAGCATACTATTGCGATAGCAGATTCTTCGAAAGTTCACAAATAGAAATGTTAGCAGGCACTAAATTAAGAATCCTTCCTATCTATCAAATCTAAAGCCTACAGAATTCGATTCACATATACATAATGGAACTTGAAAATTGGTTCACGCATGTTTTCGCACGATACATTTTCTGGTTTTCCTGTTCCTATTTGCTTCATGTCAAAGAACTCTACTTGAGAATAGATGTAAATTGTAATCCTTATAAATATTGAACTTTATCAGAAAAGGTGGTTAATAAATCATTATATCATCAGTGAATACAAAAGGAAATTCAGAATTAACCTGAAAAATTGTTCGTTAATAACAATTTAAAGGGGTGGCATTTCAACTGGGAACGTGCAAGTGCAATTCATGGCTTGTTTTATTATTAGCATGATTGAAATTTGCTTGATTCCTTGTCGAAGATGAAGTTTGACTAAATTTGGGTAATAGTATATATTACTTTGACCAACTTTTAGTGATTTGATCAGCATATAATTCGTATGTTCCACGAAGTACAACTGACAATCCTGTAATTACCATTATTAAAATTGCTCAACTTACCATTTTGCGAACTCCAAAAATACCCAGCAATCCTAATGATTTAGAAAGGAACAATTAATTCAGTAAGCATTAATTTGTCCAGCTCCAACACCAATTAAAAATAGTTAATTTGGAACAATCTTCCATGCTTATAATAAACTCAACAAAAGTCACCAGTTATCACCTCAAGTCGTAATTATTTGCTGAGTCAGTTGCAGATTACTCGCGTTATACCATATATAAGGAAATCATTGGAAACAGTGTGGAAAAAACGTATTGTTGCGCTAAAAAATCGCTGCGGACACCACTTAATATGTTACAGGTAATTAGAAAGTGAGCAAAAAGGATCATGTTGGTAATAACAGCATGGACATTCTGAATCAAAGAGGAAACACCTTTTCTGAGCAATTATCTTTTGGATTCTAAACCTTTTTACCTGTCCTAAAATTTATACAAATCTACCACTTTAGCTGAACTAAGCATCGAAGCAGAAATCCGTCTCTCACTCGAATATTTGCATTATTACGGGTAATATGCTCAACCTCAATTAGAAATATATTGGTTTCCCAATGTTAAATATAAAATATAGCAAAGTGTGGTTAAAACTACTACGTTCATAGAAAATCATCAATTTATAAGATTCAAATTTATCCATAATTTGCATTTGAGATATTTGAGGATGTCCATAGTTTAGGTCATGTAATTGATGATAAGTAGAAAAAGTCCTTTAAAAAGGGAAGAGCTGAAAAAGTCGGCCTAAATCGCTCGAATGTGATTCCTCTTTTCTTCCTTCCTTCTCTTAACTCTAGTCGAAAAAATATCAAAAATCGAAGTCATGCTGTATCCTAGCTGTACTTCTTTGACATAATATTTTGTAAAATTGCAACCAGGATTTATCTACCCGTTTGTTTTGAATGGCAACGCAAACAAGGAAGAATTAGTTGATGAAAAATGGATTAAAATATACATACCTTATTTAAGAAATATGTATAATGTCAAAAAGGACAAAGAACATTTTAGAATGATATGGTACTTGTCAAGAATTAAATGAAAATGGATGGTGAGTCCGGGTTAAGTGCAAGATACCAGTAGCATGCAATCACTGCCACCCTAACATTCAAGTATTTCGCTGCAAAATGAAATCACAAAAAAAGCTTGGTTAACATTAACGATAAAAGGAAACAATGACGAACGCGGGGATATATAAATGGAAATCAGAAGAGGAGTGATTTATAAATCTTTTCAAAAAAAAAAAAAAAAAAGTGGAAGTATATTGCATTGCTCCATTCCTTTTTCTAATCCTGTACTTTTTTCCAATATCAGAGAGTGAAGACATCTCCATATAATCTGAACTCCAAACATTTATTCCCGAAAATGAATTTCACTCCAACCTTGAAATTTGAGTTCGATACCAATCTCACACTCATTCTTCACTTGAAAGTTTTCACATGCATAAGTCTCATAAATAGCAGTAGTAAGCTTATCCATAATGATTCTCACTTATACTTCTCTCACATCTAGCACTTGAAACCCATTACTTCTGTGTTGATTGAATGAGGACAAAATTTCAAATAACTAATCAAACAGAATTGAATCATAATAG